ATATATATATCATCGACATGGTGGTAAAATGTACTTAGCTCTGAAAGCAACATTTTATAGGAGAAAGGTTTCTTTAAACTGTTTCATTCATGTAACAATTGTACCAACATTATATAATAATATTTTTCTGGCTTTTTTTCAACATTTTGAGTTTGAATTTCCATAAAAAATGTTCTTCAGCACATGCAACTGACTCCGCGTATTAAAAATAAAATTCTGGGTTTTTTCGGTGTTCTTTTTAACTTCTGGCCAATGTTAAGCACCCAGAGCCTGTGCAATTTAATGGGGGTTGGGCGATATACACATGTCATTTATTATTATTATTATTATTCTGCTTTCCCGTTTCTTAGCCTGGCCAATAGCCGTTGGAACCCTGGCGTCATTGACCATCTGTGTGACCATCGCCATCCTGTTCGCCAGACAGTACCGCGCCAAGCGACGAAGTATGAGCTGTCGCCGAACCAATAACACGGTACGACGCTAGTCGGGTTGGTGGGGACGTTGATTAGTTGGTTGTTTAGTTGGTTGGTTGGTTGGTTGGTTGGTTGGTTGGTTGGTTGGTTGGTTGGTTGGTTGGTTGGTTGTCTAGTTTTGATTAGTTGGGTCGATTGGTTGGTTGTCTAGTGTTTACTGGTTGGGTTGTTGGTGGCTGGGGACGTAAGACGTACGTTGATCGATTGGTTGGTTGTTTAGTGTTTTGATTGATTGTTGGTTGGTAGGTTGGTTGGTTAGTTGGTTGGTTGCGTAGTGTTGGTTGGTTGGTTGGTTGGTTGGTTGGTTGGTTGGTTGGTTGTCTAGTTTTGATTGGTTGGGTTGATTGGTTGGTTGTTTAGTGTTGATTGGTTGGTTGTTTGGTTGATTGGCTGGTTGCGTAGTGTTATTTAGTTGGTTGGTTGCTTGGTTGCTTGGTTGGTTGTCCAGTGTTGGTTGGTTTGGTTGTTTAGTGTGTTGGTTCATTTTTTGTTTAGTGTTGATTGGTTGATTGTTTAGTGTGTTGGTTGGTTGATTGTCTAGCGTATTGGTTGGTTGTTTAGTGTGTTGGTTGGTTGGTTGGTTGGTTGGTTGGTTGGTTGGTTGGTTGGTTGGTTGTTGGATGGTTGGTTTGTAGGTTGTCTAGTTAAGTGTTGATCGGTCGGTTGTCTAGTCTAGTATGTTGGTTGGTTGTTTATTGTGTTGGTTATCTAGTCTAGTGTGTTGGTTGATTGTTTAGCCTTTTGGTTGATTGGTTGGTTGGTTGGTTGTTTTGTGTTGTTTGGTTGGTTGTTTGTTCCCTTCTAGTTTTGATTTCTGAATGTGTGTGTATGTGTGAGTGAGTGTGTGTGTGTTTGTCTGTGTGTGAGTGTGTATGTGTGTGTGTG